TGGGGATGTTGAAAACACACACACACACACACACACACACACACACACACACACACACACACACACGATTGATTACATCTGCTCAATCGGTTCGATCAATTAGTTCCTTCCCCCTGAAAGGGCCGACAGACTTCAGGTATCATCGTTTTCCCCTTTTTTTTGAAAGCGCGACAGCCTTCAGGTATCATCATCCAAGTCACCCGCCCCACTAGCAAAGAGGATTGGATGGAGGTCCTGAATGTGGACGTGTTCCGTGCGGAGATGCAGAAAAGTAGATCGATCGTGACTTTCTGCTCCTTTCCACAAACACGTCCGCATTCAGCCGTTAAATCCGATCCTCTTCGCGCGTGGGCCCTCGCCCCAGCTGAATGCGGACGTGTTTGTGGAAAGGAGCAGAAAGTCGCGATCGATGTACTTTTCTGCATCTCCGCACGGAACACGTCCACATTCAGCACCTCAATCCAATCCTCTTTGCTAGTGGGGCGGGTGACTTGGATGATGATACCTGAAGGATGTCGCGCTTTCAAAAAAAAGGGGAAAACGATGATACCTGAAGTCTGTCGCCCTTTCAGGGGGAAGGAAGTAATTGGTCGAACCTATAGAGCAGATGTAATCAATCGTGTGCGTAATTGATCAACTGTGATTAATCGATTCGATGTTATTGAACGGATCTAATCTCTCTCTCTCTCTCTCTCTCTCTCCCCCCACGTTACCCGCCCCTCCCACCTTCTGCAACTCCCTTCGTGACTATTCCCACAGGGAGATCATCTCGGAGGTTTCCGTTGCAGATGGCTTTTTTTTTTAACGACGCGGGTATGTGTGTGAGAGAGAGAGAGAGGGTCTGGTCATCGACATTGAGGATCGACGTCCGGAATCTTTTGCAACAGTGTTGGCAGCAAGGCAGGTCGACCCCCCCGTTAGCGTAAACCACCATCCCCCACCGATCTCCTCCTGACTTGCTCGCTCTCCCCGTCTCTCTCTCTCTCTCTCTCTCTGGCCCTCCCTCCCTCTCCCCCTCCTCTCTCTAAATATAAGTGCGGTGAGACAGCTATTTAGCAAATAGGGGATCCGAAACGAAGGCGGAACAAGGTCAGGGGAAGAGAGAGGATAACGTCTATCAGGAGGAGAGGAAGTAGGAGGAGCATGGGAGACAATAGGAGGAGGAGGAGGAGGAGGAGGAGGAGGAGGAGGAAACGTTAATACAGAGAGTGGGCAGCGAATGAGCAGGACGAGGCAGAGTTTGCAAACAAAGCAAACACACATAAAAAGAAAAAAAAAAGACGAGCCCAAAACCGCTGCGCAAGGATAACCACAAAAAAAAAGAACGGGCGAGGGAGGGTAAATGCTGGAATGAGGGACAGGTAGGAGCGATGAGGTGATGTTGCAATTAGGAAAAAAGAAAATGAAAAATGACATGCAACTCGAAAACGAAAAGGTTCAATTGTTTAGGGAAAAAAAAAAAAAAAAAAAAAAAAAAAAAAAAAAAAAAAAAAAAAACAGGCGCACCTTTGAATTCAGGACGCGTAATTAAATGCTACGATGGGGTACACGAGCACACGTAGAAACTGTGAGGGTGTACTCACACCAGACCTTCATCGGCTTATCTCACTGGACGCAATTCAGGCCGGAAACATCCAATCCTGGCAGTGTAAGGCGGTCAGATACATCCCAAAACTGTCCCAATCTGATCAAATATGCGGTCAGATACATCCCAACACTGTGCCAATGTGATCAAATATGCTGTAATTGGCACCCCACTTGCACCTCCTCACTACTGACTACTCGGTCGATCATCATCAAACCTTCCGTGAAGCTTCGTCTACACATCTCCAGCTTCTGTCCGCTTGACTTTGTGTGTGCGTGTGTGTGCGCGCGCCCGCGCTCGATCGCCGTACGGTACGGTACACTTCTCGCGTCCGTACGGTACACTTCCGCGTCCGTTTGGATTATCAACAACAATTCTGTCAAACTTCAACTCAATTGTTAAAAAAAAACACAGAAAAAAAAGGGACAGAACTGTCACCCTGTCAGTCCGGCCGCTACGGAAACACGTCCCTCCGACATTCACAAATTCGCAGCGGATATGCCCTCGGCGGGAGATCCCTTTCACAAAACCGCATCTGTACCCCACTTAAATTGCATCCGCTATACTCCCAGCCCCAGTGCCCAACTTGCATCTATGCCCGGACCCCGCTCAACTTTGCATAGTACCCCACTTCTCATTTGTCCAAAATTGTAGTAGGCATACCCACTCCGGCAGGCCGTGAGTTCCAGGCAACGAAATTATGCCCATGCCCAGAAACGGGCTGGCAAAATTGCGGGTACCCACATCCATGTGTGGGCCTTGGATGGCAACCACAAAATTATGCTCATGCCCACCCGTGGACCCTTGTGGCCCAGCGGCTGCTGGGTATGAGCATAATTTTAGGCATCGGGTCGTAGGGTATATGAATAATTTGGCCGGTCCACCTCAGTCCCAGGTATGCCCATAATTTTGCCTGGGTATGTCCATAGTTGTTTGCGCATTCCCATAGTTGGTTATAACTGCAATTTTGCAGAACCAACCTCTGTCCACCTCAGTCCTGGCATGCAAATAATTTCCACCGGCAGTTTTTTCGGGTATAGGTGCAAGTTGGCACTGGGACTGCGTATAGCGGGTATTCGCATCTTCAAGTGGGGTACATATGCAATTTTCCTGATCTCTTTTCCTGAAAAAGGAAACAGACCCTCCTCCTCCCTCTGACGATGCACCCCTGATCCGGCCGGGAGGGGGGGAGCGGGATGGAAATTGTAGCCGCATGGAGATGGGGATACCAGTGGCGCCGGCTGAGCGGGCTGAGAGGCGGTACCGGGCAGTTAGAGTAGCACTCAGGTACCTCCGTCGCCCTCGGTGATGCTACCTGGCCAATACCTCCGCGGCCGGGAGACGCTCAGCTCACCTTCGCATCGGAGGTAGGGCTTGCACATAGGAGGTAGAGCTTGTCCGTGCAGCAGTCTCATCATCTGGAAGTCCATAGCCATGGTAGGTTAGAGTAGGTAGTTTGGTGAACCACGATCTCGAAGGAAGGAAGGGGCAGTAACCAAGGAGAAGAGCAG